AGATCACAGGAGTCTGAGCTAGAATACTGCGCGTAACCTCAGCTAATATCAACTCTCTCATTCACTCCTCGAGCTGCTCGGCCCCTGAACCCGAGCCCAATCCCTCTCTGGCCTCTGATCCGCCCGCTGGTCCCTCTCGGAATATCACCATACTGAAACATATAACATAACCATTATCAGAATACTCCTCACTGCTGCGAGACCAAACATACTCACTACCAGGTTCCCGGTCTTGTCTCGGCCTTTCCCGAATCGAGTACGGATCCTCTGCTTTCAGTAGTACGGGCCCATACTACCTTCCACATCTATCCGTACTTTCCTCAAGAACTGCTTCGACTCCACCAGGTCCCTTTTCTACTACTACTGCTCCCAACACTACCTCATCCTAGGCTTACCCTAGGGAAACCTCTGACTCAACTCAAACCAGCCCTCAGCTGCTGAAGGTCTCCTTGTGATGCCAATTAGCCATCACCTGGATACCATCACATGTGACGAGGCTCAGATAATCCTTCAAGTAAGACTCGTTCCTACAACGGTTGGACTCAAACAAGAGCTGCGCAATAGGACCAAATCCAACACTCTGAGATTATTCAACCCTGATCACATGTGACGTACGTATCCACCTAATGGCTAACTCCCATCACTCAGAATCCCACAATGCACAAAGCAAGCATCATTCAGACAAAGGGAAAATCTAACCATAACATACTCAAGCAATCATATCCACATAGCAAGAATCCGAACTAGCATGCAACACAACTCATAAACTCAGGCATAACCTAAACAGGCTATCCTACTACTATCTATTCAGCACTATCATGCAGATCAAAAGCACATATAATAGGCACATAAGGCATCATCCCTAGATCCTTAGTCCTAATCTAGCATGTTGTTCTATTAACTGATAATCAAAACATAGACTTGTATGGGTATTTTGGGGTACTTACTTGAGCTCGGTTGATTGCATGCACCACACCTCTTTTCTCTTTTCAAAGTTCTTTTCTTTCTGAATTCTTTTTGCTTTTCTAAAACCGTTTTCTTTCTCAAAACTCTCTTTTTACAAAACTGTCTTTTTGTTTTGAAAACTCCCATACCAATTCCTCAGTTTGAGTTCAGACACACCCGAGGGCATGTCCGAATCCCTCAAACCAAGGCTCTGATACCAACTTGTAACGACCCAAAATGTAAGACCAAAAATTTCTTTTAATAAAACATTACTTAAAGCAAAGTCATCATTCCAAAACATAATATGAGTATAAGTTTTCAAAACAAATGTTCATTATCAGAGTAAACATTCCCAGGTTGTCTAATCTATGGTGTGTGCCATTCGATCACCCCGAGCTCTTCCCTCCGCTACCGGAAGTACCTGAAACCAAAACTGAAAACCGTAAGCACGAAGCTTACTGAGTTCCCTACCCTACCACATACCATGCATAACCACATACTGCACATACTAGGCCATGCCCGCTATCTTGGGCCTCGCCCCCTACCTTAGGCCTCGCTCGCTACAACGACCCCGCCGCTCCAGGCCCCGCCTGGCTTCGAGCCCCGCTCGGATACAGATCTGTTTTACTTAGGCCTCGCCCGCCAACAAATAATAACACATAAACATATCACAACACATAACTAAACACATGCAACTGGTTTTGTCCTAAGGCCTCGCCTATCCTGGGCCTCGCCCATGTCCTGCTACTGATGAGTCATGGAACCCCGTCCACGCTCTTAATGGTAGTGAGATACGGGCCCAACCCACTCTCACTCCTGTTCTAGTTTGGGCCTTGCCCCTGTTCTGCTTCTAATGAGATATGGAACCCCATCCACACTCTGCTATTGGTGAGATACGGGACCTCGCCCACACTCACCTCCCTACCAGGCACATACATGTATCACGCAGACAACAAGTATAAACTATCATATAAACAAATCCTTGGGCACCGCCCGCTATTACTGGACCTCGTCCTGAATATCATACTAGCATACTGTGCCTGGGGCTAACCCCCGGGTCTTCTACTTGTAACTATATGGGCCGACATTTTGGCCTTAGACCCATTCACACAAAGGGAAACTCACCTGCATTGGCTGAACTTGCTGATGATCTCACTAGCTGCTGCCCGGCAACTCACTGAACTCATACTCCCCTTGCTCCCCGAACTACCAATATCAAAGCAATACTGAGTTTAACTGACCCCCGAAAGACAATCAAGCCAACCCTGGTCAAATTCAACCTTCCAGGTCAACCCTACTCACCGAGTCACCCTACTGACTTGCCAAGTTCAAAATGTTCAAATTCCCTGTCCACATCTCGTGAGGTTCTAGTTTGTCGTGAGTATCTCGTCTTACGAAAGCCTCGCAACCCCAAACCTTGATATGTGCTAACGAGGGAGCTTTCTATGTCCACATCTCGTGAGGTGTTTTGGCAACCTTCTTAGTAGGGACTCGGTTAAGGATATGGGCGGCAGTCTCTAAGGCATACCCCCAGAATGAGATAGATAGTGAAGCACGACTCATCATAGAACGAACCATGTCCAACAAGGTTCGATTATGCCTTTCTGCCACACCATTCAATTGTGGTGTCCTAGGTGGCGTCAATTGTGAGACTATTCCACACTCTTTTAGATAGTCATGGAATTCAAGACTTAGGTACTCTCCTCCTCGATCGGATCGAAACATCTTGATTTTCCTGCCCAATTGATTCTCCACTTCATTCTTGAACTCTTTGAACTTTTCAAATGTTTCTGACTTTTGCTTGATTAAGTAGATATACCCATATCTACTATAGTTATCGGTAAAAGTCACATAGAAGCGGTTCCCATCCTTTGTGGTTGATCTAAACGGTCAACATCGGTATGTATTAGGTCCAATAAACCCTCACCCATTTCACATGAGCTAGTGAAGGGTGACTTGGTCATCTTTCTAAGTAAACAAGATTCGCATGTGTCATCTTCCCTAAGGTCGAATGACTAAAACACTCCATCCTTTTGGAGTTAGGCTATGCGCTTCTTGTTGACATGTCAAAGACGACAATGCCACAAGGATGCTTTATCCATACTATTGGAAGAATCCATGCATAAAACATCATTTCCTAGGTTATCTACAATCATAACAGTTTCATAAATTCCATTACATGGTATTGCTTCAAAATATAAGACACCATTTAGATAAGCACAAATAGAACCATTCTCATTATTAAAAGAAAATCTAAATCCTTATCTAAACAAACCATGAAATGAAATGATGTTTCTTGCCATTTTTGGCGAATAGCAACAATTGTTTAAATCTAAACATAAACCATTCATAAGCACTAGAGAATACACTTCAATCTTGGTCACAGGCGACGATCTTCTGTTCCCCATGATTAGATTTATTCTTCCATGCTCCACATCCCTATTTCTTCTTAGTTCCTGCAATTCAGAACAACTGTGGTAACCACACCCGGTATCGAGGACCCAATAAATAGCATGAGATGAATCATTAGATTTAATTGTATAAATACCTACGAAAGACGGCTTGATCTTTCCTTCCTTGATAGTTGCAGATATTCTGGGCAGCTTCTCTTCAAATGCCCTATTTTGTGGCAATGGTGTAACATCCCGAAATAGCAAGAGTTGTGTGGAAGGGCTAAAAGTGTAATTTGGGAAAGAGTGACTCGTCGAGTCCATGGATGGACTCGGCGAGTAGAGTCGCGACTTGGTCGCGTGTTAAATAGCCGACTCGACGAGTCATGGAGATGGACTCGGCGAGTAGGCGTTGAGTGGAGAAAACCCTAATTCCCGGGGTTGAGCCCTATATAAAGAGCATTATGTTTCCTCCCCAGCCTCTTTATCACCCCTTTGAGTCCTTGAAACCCTAAAATCATGGAGAAGCACCATTGTTGAGTGGATTGGAGCTTGGAGAAGTAATTGTTGGAGAAAGTTTGGAAGTTTGAAGGTGTGGAGCAAGGGGTTTTGCTTGGATTCGAGTTTCCTTGCAGTTTAGGGCACTCCTTGAAGGTAAAATCTCGTTCTTGAGCTGCTATTGTCTTGTCTCTTCATTTTGGGGTTTGGGGGGAAACTTATCTTGGGTTATCTTGGAGTCTAAAGGTTGGATCTGAGGTTGCTACCTCAGATCTGGAATGGAGGAGGGTTAGGATGCAAAAAGTCCCTGTGTTGAGTGTTGGATGAAGCTATCTTGTCCCAAACCTTGGCCCTAATGTGCAAAATGCATAGATCTCTTTGGATTCACGTAAAGATTGCCACTTTACGTGATGGATGAGTTGTAGGAGGCTAGATCTATGTTTTGGATCAATTGCATGGTCTGGAACGCTTCTGTTTGGATTCAGACCGGTGGTACTCGGCGAGTCACATGGGTGGACTCGACGAGTTGCTTGAAGACGAGCTGAGACTCGACGAGTTGGAAGAACAACTCGGCGAGTTGGATGAAGATGGTCTGGAACTCGACGAGTTGGATGAACAACTCGGCGAGTAGGTTGAAGATAGCCTTAGACTCGGCGAGTCTGTGCTTGGACTCGGCGAGTCTTGTCGAAGAGTCCCAATATCTTCTGGTTGAGTCGAAGAATCGGCAAGTCAAGGGATGACTCGGTGAGTTATGTGCGAATGGACTCAGAGTTGTTGGACTCGGCGAGTCTCGGGGTGACTCGGCGAGTTAGGTCGCGGATTGAGTGAAGTTTTGAGTTGGGAACTCGGCGAGTTAGGTCGCGGATTGAGTGAAGTTTTGAGTTGGGAACTCGGCGAGTCATAGGGTTGATTCGGCGAATGGGGTCAGTCAGGGGTTGACTTTGACCCAGTCTTTGACCAAGGGTTGACCAGTGGTCTCCAGGGGTATTTTGGTAATTGTTGGTTATGGTTTTGAGTTCAGTGCATTGGTGGCTGTCCAGTGGTGGAGATTGTATCAGGGATCGGAGCA